GTCCCTTGAGATCAACACCATCCAACAGAAATATAATGTGAGCCAAACATGTAATTTTATTATTTTTTTAAATTTTTAAAAAAGATTTTATTTAGAGGCACCTGGGTGGCTCAGTGGGTTAAGCACCTGCCTTTGGCTCAGGTCATGATCTCAGGGTCCTGGGATCAAGCCCCGCATCGGGCTCTCTGCTCAGTGGGGAACCTGCTTCCCTTTCTCCCTCTGCCTGCCTCTCTGACTACTTGTGATCTCTTTCTGTCTGTCAAATAAATAAATAAAATCTTTTTTTAAAAAAATGTTATTTATTTATTTATTTGAGAGAGAGAGAGTGCACACAAGCAATGGGGAGGAACAGAGGGGGAAGGAGAAGCAGACTCTCTGCTGAGTGGAGAGCCTGATGCAGGATCTACCCTGATCACAACCTATCTATCAGATCACGACCTGACCGGAAGGCAGAAGCCCAATTCACTGAGCCACCCAATCAACTGAGTCACCCAGGCTCCTCTAAACATGTAATTTAAATGTGCTGGTAGGCACAATTAAAAAGTATGAAGAGAGAGATGAAGTTAATTTTAATAATATCATTTATTTAACCCAATACATCAAAAAATTATCATTTTAATATACCATTAATATAAAAATGAGATATTTTACATTCTTTCTTTATACACTAAGTGCATGTATTTTATATTTACATCACATGTAAATTGGGACTCAAATAGCTATGTGTGTCCAGTGGCTGCTGTATTGGACAACACAGTGCTGAATCAGTTTTCTGGTCTTCTCTGACCTGCTCTGTGCCTGTGAGGCTGACCTCTAAGCTTGCATCACTCAGCTCTCTTGCCCTCAGGTTTCCTGATGGCTTTTGGGCAGTGGGAGTCACCATTAAAAGAGGGGATATGGGAAGAGAGGTTAAGTCCAGTTATTCCACTTCCAAACACCCCTACTCACAACCCCCCCCCCCCAAACTGGGCTGCTGCAGTTCCTCTACATAAGGCCAGAGTGGCTATTCATAGCCATAGCATTTGGCTGCTTTTGGTAATCCTACTCCATTTCTTGCTTCATGGGGTCTAAGAACTGCCACAGGGAGCAAACTCTTCCCAAGCGGGTTTCCTTAGCCCTGTAAATGATTACCTCTTCAGTTAACTCTTTGTTGAATGTGCCATCTGCTTCCTGCCAGTACAGTCACTGAACCAAGTAGTTAATGAACTATTGTCATGGCCCATGCTCTTATGAGATTTTTTTCTATACTTGAAGTCAATCACAATACTTAAAGTATTAATTTTTTTAAAAGATTTTATTTATTTGAAAGAGAGAGACAGAGATAGCAATAGTGAGAGAGAGCATGAGTGGAGAGGAGAGGGAGAAGCAGGCTCCCTGCTAAGCAAGGAGCCCGATGAGGGCTTAATCCCAATGACCCGAGCTGGAGGCAGACACTTAACCGACTGAGACACCCAGGTGCCTCTAAAGTATTAATTCTTTTTTTTTTTTTAAAGATTTAATTTATTTATTTGACAGAGAGAGAGATCACAAGTAGGCAAAGCAGAGGCAGAGAGTGGGGGGGAAAGCAGGTCCCCTGCTGAGCAGAAAGCCCAATGCAGAGCTGGATCCCAGGACTCTGGGATCATGACCAGAGCTGAAGGCAGAGGTGTAACCCACTGAGCCATCCAGGCGCCCCTAAAGTATTAATTCTTTTTTTTTTTAAAGATTTTTTTTATTTATTAATTTGAAAGACAGAGAACACAAGTAGGCAGAGAGGCAGGCATCGAGAGAGAGGGGGAAGCAGGCTCCCCGCTGAGCAGAGAGCCCGATGCGGGGGCTCCATCCCAGGACCCTGGGATCATGACCTGAGCCGAAGGCAGAGGCTTAACCCACTGAGCCACCCAGGTGCCCCTAAAGTATTAATTCTTTTTTTTTTTTTTTAAGTATTAATTCTTATACATAGATATTTATGCCTGGCCATCAGTCATTTTTTTCCTTAAAAAGGAAAAAAGTGCTTAGGGAATTGGTAAGGGATGAATTTGCGAATCAGAAAAAAACTCAGTGCCATGATTCTCAACTTGAGGTACTGACAAGTGTGTGCCAAAGTAATTTCTGTATTCAGAATCTTTTTTTTTAACTCTTTTAATTGGATTAATTAACATATAATGTTTATTGGTTTCAGAGGAAAGGTCTGTGAAGTATTTCGAATCTTTCTGTTTGCTAGTGTCAGGAAAATAAAAACAACTCAACCGGCTTAGGCAAATTGGGTGAGGTGTTAGGGAAGGTACATTAGGGAATTCCAGAAGTGGAACTGGGTTCAGGCTTCTTAAACAAGAGTTCTAGGACTCTGTTCTCCATCCCTCAGCTCTCTCCCTTCCTTCAGATTGGATCCACTGCAGGCTGCCTCTTTCCTCATGGAAACAAGATGGCTGCCCAGGCTCAGGAGCCACTAGTCAGAGGAAATGAGCACACCTCTAGTTGACCTAGCAGTAGGGCTAGAATTAGCAAATTAGCAGCTGACTGGTCTGATTGGATTGCTCATCCATTTCTGAACTAATTGGGGTGGGGAAGGAGTGCTAAGCACCGGAATGATTTAATTAACCCAACCGCCCCTGAATCAATACCATGGTCTACGATGAGAAAGGTAGTTCCCCAGAAGAAATCAAGAAATGTTTACTACAATATATGATCCCTATTCCCTGTCCCCACCAAGAAATACTGATATGGCCCTTTGAAGATTCATGTGGTTTAAGAGTGGTTGGTGGTTGAATAAATTTAAAGTAACATTAAAATAGTCTATAATTTAAATGGATAATTCACTTTTTATGCTATTATCAGAAGAAAGTGTGTGTGGTTGGCTGTAGGAGGTTCAAAATGTATTCTGGAATACAGCTGGAGGGATTAAGACTGCTCCATTGAAAGATGCATGCTGGACGAGCATTACATACATTAACCCAAAAAAAAACCAGGAAAGATGGTAGGAAGGAATAGGATACTCTTTGAAAAGAGCATTTTTTGAATAGAGTTTGTCAACGGATCTACATACATACTTTCTTTAGGTCATTAAATGGTTAAAGAAATATGTTTAGGGGCGCCTGGGTGGCTCAGTTGGTTAAGCAGCTGCCTTAGGCTCAGGTCATGATCCCAGGGTCCTGGCATTGAGCCCCAAATCAGGCTCCCTGCTCAGTGGGGAGTCTGCTTCTCCCTCTTCTTCTGCTTGCTGCTTTCCCTGCTTGTGCTCTCTCTGTCAAATAATAAATAAAATCTTAAGTATGTATGTATGTATCTATCTAAAATACATTTATGTGCTCTGTGCCAGATTTGTTTCTAGGCCCAGGGACGCAGGAGTGACCACAATAGACAAAAGCTGAAGTTCCTGTAGGAAGAGACAACACATAACAACCCTGCAAGGCTGATATTATCCCATTTTATAGAAAAAAATAATTCTGAGACAGGTTAAGGGGTTCTTCTCAAGATACTTTAGTAGTAAGTAGGGGGACTTGGGTAGCTCAGATCCAGGAATGTCTGCCTTTAAAGCTTTTGCTTTGGCAGAAGAAAATAAAATTTAAAAGAAGAGAAAAGCTTACACAGAGGAGGCAATATAAGTGAGCCAGAAGAGAAAAACATACAGAGAAGAAAAGAAAAGTAAGAAGAGAAAGAGAAAGAGAAAGGGTTTGCTAAAATCCCCCCTCACCTGGGAAACACCCCAGGTTAGGCCAGCACAAGTCCTGGTTCAAGAACTGTAGTTCCCATTCCCTCTCTTTCCCTGCAGTATGAAATTCCTATTTTACAGTGAGAAAACTAAGGCTCAGAGCCATTAAATTTCTGTATTTTTTTCCCCCACGACGCATAAATATTTTAGAGCCACAATAGAAGATAAGGTTTCAAAAGAAAGTATCTGGGAGCAGTAAGTAAATAATGGCATATCCTTCACCTTGTGACTGAAAATACAAGGTACTGTTATTTTTCTTTTTCTGGGGAGATTTAAATTTTAGCAATAAGTCGGGCAGCACTGAAAGGGGATAGGAGAGTAGGTTTCAGGACACCAGACAAACTTCCCAACGTAACTCACTGTTCCAGAGAGGGAGAGCTTAACCATTTTCGGAGCACGATTGAGGTATTTCTCTCCCAGTAGTTAACTATTCTTGTGGCTCTCTTTCTCTAGAGGGAAGTGGAAAACAGAGGAAGATGTGAGTGGTCTAAGGACCCGAGCCCCACCCTCAAGTCAACGGAGGAGAAAGGCCGGAGGTGCCCTTCCTGGCATTCGTCTGGGGGCCCAGTGTTGAAACTATTTCTTCTTCAGGAAGTTCCTTTTGCTGTTATTTGCTAAAGGTGAGCGTCCAGATGGCCTGACAGGTCTCATTGGCTTTTGAGTTTCTATTAAACATTTTGAGTCCCGGCTAATGACGCCACCTCTCTCTGCCAAAAGCTTCGGTTTGGGTGAGAGGCGGGAAACCAGCCAGAATCCGGCCGGCTTTCCAGGATCGGGCTATTCCATAGTGTGGGACGTGGGCGGGTACAGCTTGGTGTACAGCTCTGCTGGCAGCTTGGTCATACACAGTTCAGTGACCTTGGGAGAAACTCTAAAGCACGTTTGTAAACGCGAGGGTCTTAATCCCAGTCTAACCGTTCTCGAGGATGAAGTAATTAACGAATTCATCTACTATCTAAATCTTATTTGGAGGAAACGGCTCAATCGGTGTTTGGGAGCGACGACAGTAGTGTTATGAAAACCCAGCCTATCCGGAGAAGAGGGAAGGGGGCTTGAGGGTAACTTGGAGAACGTCCACGCGTAAACACCCGAGGATGCCCCAGGGCCGACGCGACTGGAGCTAGGCGGTTTAGTTCTCCCTCGGTCCCAGCGCCACAGCCAGAGCGCGCTCCCAGCAACCGCGATTCTCGTTGCGTTTCTGGCCGTAACGTCACGGCCTCCTTCGCCTCTCATTGGACGAGCCCGTCCAATCATGTGACTTCAGCGTGGCGTATAAATAGGGGCGAGGAGAAGGCGATGGTCCGCCATTTCGTGGACGCCGGGTCAGCGAGAGCATCTGCTGGAGCCGGGAGGGGTGGGGAGCGGGAAGCGGGAAGACCCATCCGAGGGTGTGTTGATTTGAGCGTCAGCTTTCTAATCCAAGATCTCGGTAAGTGACCGGCAACTAAAGGAATCTAGTGGCAAATGGCACCTAACAGGACCGTGGAAGGACCAGGCCCAATGGCGGCGCCAGGTTGAGACAAAGAGACGCCGCCGCCATTTTGTGACGTTCGGCATGGGGCGGTGGCGGGGGCTTTTGGCCCATCAGAGAATGTACCTGGGTCTCGAAGTGGAGGTGTTTATAAACTTCTCCGGGGGCGAGGGGTAAATTGAGAAGTGGGATTACCCGAAAGTTAAGGCGAAGTGGGGGAGCCGCTTGCCGAATTGTATTCCGTGCTGCGGCCTTTCAATTTATGGCGCCTTTTTCCTCCCCCCCCCCCACGTTTTCTTTGGGAGCTAATCTGAAATATTTTTTCTCAAGTCACCAATCGAGATTGGACCTTTTGATCCATATTACGGGGTTTCTGTACTCACCTGTATTTTTATCTAATTTTAATGTGATTTTCTGTACCTTGTCACTTTTTTTTTTTTTTTTTTTTTTTAAACCGGAGGATCTTGCCTGAGTAGCCTTGTTCTCGTAGCAGTTTCCCGTTGATAGTTAACTCTGAAACGGTTTACGGCTAAGTTCTTAAAAAACCAGTCCCCAATCTCCAGCAATGATTTGGCTTCAGAACTCCAGGATACAGGGTGGGGTCATGCAAATAGGATGTGTCTGGACTAGTTTTTTTAATTGGTTAAGCCCAAGAGTGAGAAGAGCGTACTGTTTATGAGAAACCCTTAAGCTGGGTTATTGGGTTGGCTACTCTTCTGTAGTTGAAACCGGTCTACAGGTTGATTTTGATTCGTTGTCGAGGTGATTTTTTTTTGAAGATCTATAAGTGCAAATCTGTACATTCCTAGTGCTGTGCGTCCATCCTGCCTAGTTCCAAACCATTTTTGTTATCCCCTGAGGAGTCCTGTACCTTATTAAGCAGCTGTTCCCTATGTCCCCTGCCCTCTTCCCCAGCTGCTGGTAACCAGTAATCTGTCTCTGGGTTTACTTGTTGGATATCTCATATATGTAGAATCTTAGCATGTGTACTCTTGTGTCTGGCATCTGTAAATAGCATGTTTGTATTCATGTTGGAAGCATTTATCAGTACTTCATTCTGAATAATAGTCCATTGTGTGGATAACACATTTTGATTATCCGTTTATCTTTTGATTTTGGCTGTTGAGAATAGTGCTGCTGTGATGGACATTTTTTTTTTAATTTTTAATAAACATATAATGTATTATAGGCCCCAGGGGTACAGGTCTGTGAATCGCCAGGTTTACACACTTCACAGCACCGTGATGTACATTTATTTTTAAAAACCTAACACTAAGCTGCTTGAGGAGTGATGCTGGTTAAGTTTTTGTTTAGGAGGGCACATTAGTACCATTTTTCAAGGGGCTCAGCCTTAACTACTGTCGTGTTTTAAGCATTGTTTCATTTGGTTTTTGTGTCTCCAGGATTTGCTTAAGCAAGTTATCCTACTTTTTCTAAGAGCTTTATTTTTGAGATTAATTGTAAAAGTCCCTAATTCAGTGCCGAGATTGTAGTAAATGCCCCTTCGGTGTTTGTTTTCCTCCCTGGATTTTTCAGTGAGACCTTTTTTTCTTAATATAATTTGTGCTGGCTTCCTGGTGTTTGTCAGTACAGATTAGAGAGAAATAGGTGTTTCGAGGGTAGTAGTTGTTTGGTTTTTAGTATTTCAGCATTCTTTTTTAAGGATCTGTTGTTAACTGTGTCAATTATTAAATAAATGATTAATGTCTGGGGTATTCTTTTTGTTACAGAAATGCATCGTGATTCCTGTCCATTGGACTGTAAGGTTTATGTAGGTAATCTTGGAAACAATGGTAACAAGACTGAATTGGAACGAGCCTTTGGCTATTACGGACCACTCCGAAGTGTGTGGGTTGCTAGAAACCCTCCCGGCTTTGCTTTTGTTGAATTTGAAGATCCCCGAGATGCAGCCGATGCTGTCCGAGAACTAGATGGGAGGTAATTTAATGACTAATTTATACTGATGATAAACATTAATACTTAAATTTTCTAGGACGTGTGGCTTTTAGAAGGCTTCTTGGCTATCTGAAGTTAATGTTATTAGAGACTTCTATAAGTCTTTGCTACAATGAAAAAGGACTGAACAGTTTTACTGGAGATACACAAGAAGGTTCCTTTTATTCAGGTGGCCAGTGAAGAGAATAAGTTTAGTGGGTCAGTTCTTGGTGGGTGGATTTTTGCATCCAGAATGTGATTAAAACATTTTAATCTACATCTCAAAGTGTCACCTGTGGTGTCACCTTTGAGTTGTTTCTGAAACCATTGGAAATCAGATACTCTTTTCAAATAAGAATGGCCATAGACTGACAATTGTTGGACGATGATTACATGGGGCTTATTATACCATCATTTATGTGTTCTAGATATTTAGGAAGGGTGAAGTATGTAGCTATTTCCTTTTGTGTTTATGGTGTCCTCTTACTGGCTGATAAGTAACACCTAAGTCTTAGAGGAAATGGGTGCTGCCCTTCTCCTTCCTGGTCTTTGAGAACTGTTGGATCTCATGAAACCAGGGGAAATGGTTAATACTTAAGATCCAAAAGTTAAGGGGTCTGAGTATTGACTGCAAAGCTGAATAAAAGGTCATTTATACAAGCAGATTATAGAAACAGATTTTTCCAGGTCCCCACCTCTTCCTGATCATTGTCCAAATAAATAATGGTTTATCTAAACAGATGTGGAACAACAAAGAGGTGGGGGATTACTTTTCTCAGCGGCAGTTTCCTAAGTGTCAGTTACTGAGGGGTGATGGCTATGTGAAATGGCCAAAATGCTTCAGTTCACTGCTTTGCACGGAGATGAGTTGTGGAGGGAGGAGAAAGACCAGCACATACAGTAAGATCAATAAACAGGTGTTGGGATCTCAGGATCTCAAAGTCCCAGCAGGATGTACAGATGAACTAGTTCTTTGAGGATGAATCCATGGGTTTCACACTTGAAATGTTAACAAATAAACAAAACTCCCCCATTTCCATGGAGTTGAACAAAGCACTAAAATGTAAGAAAGTTTGTTTTCTTTATGAGAAAAACTTGCTTTGGTATTAAGGATTCTGTAGACATTGAGGTGTGTACTTTGCGAGAAGCTAAAATAGGAGTGCTTGCTTTTTGCTTTAATACACATCTCTTAGAAAGTCGGTTCAACTCTTTTAAATGTAATAATGTTTCTTCCCTTAGAACATTATGTGGCTGCCGAGTAAGAGTGGAACTCTCGAATGGTGAAAAGAGAAGTCGAAATCGTGGCCCACCTCCGTCTTGGGGTCGTCGCCCTCGAGATGATTATCGGAGAAGAAGTCCTCCACCTCGCCGCAGGTACTTGAGAGCGTGTTTAGAGGTATTGGTATAATGGAGTAGCTAATAGGAGCAGGTATTTCTCTTAAGTTTGTTGGTGGGTTTTAAACTTTGAAGAATCGGAGGTTTTTATGAAACATTGGCTGGGTGTAGTTTGGGGTATGTGAGTTGTGCTGAGTGTTGGCTTTTGTCTTTAGGTCACTGTTCATGTTGGTAGTCAGTAACTTCTATCTTGGATCTATCTTCTAGTTCATCTTCTAGTTGCATCTTTCCAAGTCTTCCCTTATACTTCAATTTAGGCCTTTTTCCATTTCTTGACTCCATAATGACAAACATTACATTCAACTCTAGCTCTTCACAAAAATGTGTTTTCTACTATTAGCACGGTTGTAGTATTTATCAACCAGGCAGCTGTTGTAATGTTACAACTGGTAAAGTAGAAATCATTCTGAAACTAACTTAAGTCACTGACCGAAAAAGGGGGCTAAAAAAGTAATCCCAGTCATCTATTCTTCAAACCCAAATAGGAGAGATTTCAGTTTTTTTATAATTGAAAATGGCATCATTCTTGGACCAGGCAGTATTGTCTGGATGCTAACTCCACATCTCCTCAAACCTCCAAAATAGTTTCTATAGGACTGAATTTACCTCTTACAGGTGAGTGAAGTCCTTCTAGGAGATAGGAGTTCAAAATCTTGCCCCTTTTGCTATTTTGAAAAACAAAACAACACACTGTTGCCCATCATAATAAAGAGTATTTGTTAGCTAAATAGATGGTTGTACTGATGGCTTGTTTTTCATTTTTTTTTTGTGCTTTTTGGTCCATCTATTAATAAAAATGAACCCCGTTACAGAGTCACCATCATGTCTCTTCTCACCACCCTCTGAGTCTGCATTAGCCAGTCAACTAGCCCTTTCAGCGTCATGTGACCAGCGCGCCCCATTCAGCTTGGCTGGTGTCGTTTCACATGACCCAGGCATGGCCAGTCGTCAGGTTGCACCGCCCTTTGGTTCCCGAGCATGCTGTTTTCTCTCAGCCTTCTCTCCAACCTTAACCAAATCGGCAGCAGCCACCTCGACCGCCCACACATTCCTGGCCAATCAGCTCAGCTGTTTATTTACCAAATGTCTTCACAACAACTACAGCAGCAGCCTTCGGCTAACAAAAAAGCAGGAAAAATCCACAACACCCCCTTCGCCAACCAACTAAATCCAACGCAACATCTGGCAAAACCTTTTCAGCAAATTCTTCCTGGCCGTCAGTCCGGCAGCCTCACCTCACCATTTCTAGCTTGTTGAAACCCAAAACTAGTAAGTTTTTCCTGCTTATACAGTTTACTGCTGGTTAAAATAAGGAGTAAGCGGCTTAAAGTAATTCTTTTTTCTGGATCAAAGGCTGGCTGTGCATAATTGAATGGTAACGTACATATATATTGCTTGAATAAAACTTTTAAGGGTGATAGGGAACTCATAATGTAACTAGACCTTCAAGTGAAACTTATTTGCATGTGTGAGATGCCAAACTAAAAATTTTAATAACTCTAACAGATTTAGCTTTCCTTTCTAGCAAAAATTTGTTGAATCCTATCACCTTTAAATGGTTTTACTAACAGTTTTCAAAATTTAAATTTTGGGGGTGAAGTGGGCCAAGCTTAAGGTAATTTTTTATAAGCCTAAACACACTCTTAAATGTGACGATCACAAATGCAGTTCTAATGTAGCACTTAATGGCATCAGTATTTTACACCTAGCGCGTTTTCACAAAATTACACTATCCACCTGGTACCTAAGTCTTGTCATGGACTTATAGGTTTGCATGGGTTCCAAATACTGGTTTATGGTACTGTTTTTGGAACTACTTGTGGGACTATATTTTGGTGTGGTGTTTGGGTAGTGGAGAGTTAGTTTGACATGAAGTTTTGCATTGGACAGATCTGCTGTGAAGCATTCTTTGTTAAAGTGAATCCATGGTTGGAATACCTGCTTTTCACTTGAGCTTTTGGTTCCTTAATCCTTCTGTGCCTTTTTTTCTTTTCTGTTTTTTTTTCCTATTTTTTATTTTTTTTAGTTTCATTTATTTATTTTTTTGGACGATGGGTGCCAGTTCTTCGGCACAATCACTGGGCCCAACAGTGAGATTGAAAAGTTGGGAAATGCCTCACGCCATAAATACTAATTGACAATTAGCCTAATTTTCCTGTTTCTGCTTTTAGATCTCCAAGACGGAGAAGCTTCTCCCGCAGCCGGAGCAGGTAAATAACTACCTTTTTTGGTTACGTTCTCAGAAATGACAGCATTCTGTTCTTAAACTGTTCTATAAATGATATGGCTAAAGGTAAAAAGACTGGCTTTAGTAACTAATCAAGTGGTCTATAGAGCTAGTGTTGCAGGAATGAACCAACTTCTCATTTGTGAAGACTTTTTACAGATACTTGTTGTAATTCTGAATGGTCCTGATTTTCTTCCTCTGGTTTTAGGTCCCTTTCTAGAGATAGGAGGAGAGAGAGATCACTGTCTCGGGAGAGAAATCACAAGCCGTCCCGATCCTTTTCTAGGTCTCGTAGGTAAGATCTTTAATGATTTAGACTGTTTATAAATAACATAGTTAAAACAGGAATTGGTCATCTTAAGCCATTTTGATTATTTTTAACTATTTTTCCATAAAAGCCTTTGATGTAGTTGTGTTACTGAGAAATGCATGTAACTTTTGTTCTTGTTTTTTTAGCCGATCTAGATCAAATGAAAGGAAATAGAAGACCAGTTTGCAAGAGGAGTGGTGTACAGGAAATAACTTCATTTGACAGGAGTATGTACAGAAAATTCAAGTTTTGTTTGAGACTTCATAAGCTTGGTGCATTTTTAAGATGTTTTAGCTGTTCACATTTGTTTGTTTCTTGGAACAGTGACACATAAAGATGTAATTCTCTATGATTTGAATGGATCATACGAGGCATGTAATACCAAGAATTGTTACTTTACAATGTTCCCTTAAGCAAAATTGAATTTGCTTTGAAGTTTCGTCTTACATAGACTGATAATAAACCTCTTAACTCCTGCCCAGCTAAACCTTGACATTTAATATTACGAGAACAAAACTGGCAAAAATTGAATGAAGTCTTTCCATAGCTGGGATAATAGTATGCAGCTGTAGTTAAATAAGCAGTCTTTAAAAGCTGGTATGAACACAAGCCAGCAGGTAAAAATTAAGCTGCACTGTTAAACTAGATTAGAGGTTTAAAAAAAAAAAAAAAAAAGAATCCAACTAGTCTTCGTACTGGGCAGGGTGTCCAGTTGGTATAGAATTAGAAGTTTTCGAGAAAGTTAGTTTACCTTTGTTTTAGGTCATAAGTTCCTTATGTGATTGCTGTATATGAACACACAGCTCTTGTAACATTCTCTATTTGGTAATTTGAAACTTAAAGATACGAGTGTTCTGCCAGTTTAAGGGTACATTGTAGAGCTGAACTTTGAGTTACTGTGCAAGATTTTTTTTTTTTTTTTCATGCTGTCATTTGTAATATGTTTGTGAGAAATCCTTGGGATTAAAGTTTTGGTTACAAATTGTTGTTTAACCTGAAAGCCTGTTTTTCCTTGCAAAACTAAAATCTGTGAGCTTGGTATCAAGTCCAGGTATAACATTCCTATTGGAAGCCATACTTATATTTTCTTGTAAAGTGCTTTTGAATTAATAAAATATTAGCATAATTGTGTAACAGTCGAACCCACTATTACCATAGTTCTTGTCCCATGGGAATCAGTTGGTTACACAAATCTTACAAGAAACACAATTGAGGCTGAAGGGAACTTTTGGTTGTCACCTACGTGATTGTTCATACTTAACCATTTTTTAGGAATAGGAGCTAATTCAAAGACCATGATACTCTGTGACCAACATTTTTAAAGTATAGCAAACATGGTACATTATAACCCAAAGTGACCCATTAAAAAGGGGTTTTATCATTAGCATGAGACCTTTGCAAAGCTTTAAAAATTGCTTCCATTTTATATAATTTGAGGTGTTGCATGGGAATTCTAAATTGATCCATCATGATGTAAAATTCTCTATATGGTTCAAATGTAACAGTGCAGAATTGAATTGGAGGCATGCATAACCTTCCTCTTAGAAATCCAGAGGAGTTGTAATTTCAAATTTTTGTGAATTAGATTAAATCACAATGCAACAGTCTTGTGGCTTAGTTTCCTTAAATGTGCTACTTAAAGGTAGTTTGGGATTATTGCTGTACTGACTTTAATATGAAAGATGAGTCATTGCATTGAGTCTATAAAGATTTTCTAAGATGTAGGTCCTAAAAAATTGTTTGCAATGGTCCTTTTTAACCTTTCATGCAAATCCCAACAAAAGGGGAGAGTCCTTGGTATCATAAGGTAGAATTGTCAGATTGCGTATGAGAGCCACTTTAGAGAAGACCTTTAAAAGACTATTGATGTATTGGGAGCTCTGGTTTTTTGGGCCTCTTGTCTTTCTGCATTTTTTTCAAAGCCTAAAATTGTCCGGGTTCAGAACAAGGAAAGATAGCTAAGAGGCTATGGAAGGAATACGGTGTATCAATAATCAAACTGCTCTTATAAATGGACATTCATATGCATGTTTTTGGCAGTATACAACTTGCAGACTTGTGAGTTGGGTTTTTGTAAAAAGGATAGTAGGTTATGGGTACAGTGTGGCTTTATAAGTTGATCTCAGAGTGATCCCGACATAACAGGCCAAATTTGCAATCACTTTAACCAGAAGCCCCCAGCACAGTTTTTATGGCTTGTTTAAAAAAAAAAAAAGAAGTAGGGAAGGTGGTAGAAGCTGTTAAAATCCCTGCACATTCAGCTTCTGGCTATTAAAAGTTTTGGTTACTGTAATTTCTAAAATTGTAGATTTTCACTAGCCAGTTTTGTCCCTGCATCCTTTTAAGTACAATAATGAAAGATGAGTGACAAAAATTGACCTCTAGTGTAAGGACTACAGGTGTTCACTGAGGTCACTATTAATACTGGGTGGTGATTTAAGGAAATAAGCATTTATAGTTGGTTTTTATACTTTTCCAGAATAATTATCTGGTTCTCACCTAATTGTGGGTTACTTCTGACCTTCATGTCTTAAGCAGAAAGGTGAAGATAAATTAGCCAGGGAAATTTTAAATTTATCAGATGTAGATACCTTTTATCTACTGTTAACATACTTTCACAGTTCTTTACCTAGTTATGATCCATAAATGTCATTTCCCCTTCTTAGTTAGACTCTCCCATATCGAATGGGAAGTCCTGGTTGCTTTTTCTTAGAGTGTTAATATGGTTGATGTTAGTATGGTGCTTTACCAGGAATGCTGTTGATAAAAGTTTTTCCAAAATACAGCCTTGATTCCAGGCCTGTTAGCATTTTTTTTTTTTAAAGAGTAATCAAGCACTGTGGTTATTTGAAAGAGTTCTAGGTGATAAACATCCCTAATTAAGTAAGATTACTGGTTTAGTGCTTTGTTTTAATTTGTTTTTATTTTCAGAGTCCTGAACATGATTTTTAGTTGTCAGATCTAGTTGGTGGTAATGTCTTCCAGTTGTTTATTTTTGTACTAGACTGTTGCCTTCTGCTTTTTTCTTTTTTTTTTTCTTTTTTTTTTTTTTTGAGAACATGATAGATTTTTATAATTAAAGTAGCTGAAGAAAAACTGGGTTGGAGTATATTTTTATCAAAACAGTTTGATAGTGTTGAATTCAATTTTCTATACCTACACAAATGCTCTTTAAGATTTCTTTGGAGTATGGCAAAAGAATTCAGCTGTATAGCAGACTTGTAAGATTCTGAGAAAAAAATCATGAAAATTTATCTCTAAACCTACGATAACTGCTCGATTTTCTTCTTTCCCTTTATTAGATAGATTGCAGAAATTTAGGATAACAGTATTTAGACTCCTTTAGTATTCCAGTTCTTTCTTGTTACAGAACATATGACAACAGCTGAAACGTTTCCAAGACTAACATGATACACATGTATAATAATTAGCTCAATTAGTTTTTCTTCCATTCTCTGTGACCTATATATAAAACACTGTGTAGTACAGGTCTGTACTTGGTCTTGAGGAAGTGAAACTTTCTGGAAACATTGTTACTTCTTGTCATTTGGAGAGGTCCTTATATGGAGAATATTTAACAATTTCCAGAGCAAAGTTGAGCTTTCCAGAAAAATTAGGTGACTTTTATTTTTATTTAATCTCTACAACCAACATGACTCAGAGTCAAGTGACCTGCTGTACCCACGGATCCAGCCGGGTGCCCCAGATTTTACCCTGCTTTTCAAGTCCCATTTACTTGTAAATAGGACCTTTATTTCAGTGTGTACCTCATTAAGGTTTCATATGGGAAAGTAAGCATCCTTTAGGGGTGGTTTTTACTGACCTCCAAATCTGCAAATCAAGCCAAGGGGGAAAGTTGCTTAATGCTACCCTTTTTTGGGGTGTTAACTATTAGTATTGTTCATTTGGGAAAGGAAGTGTAAATTACCAGTATAAAAAACTAAGGATAGCTAAAAGTTCCTCCCTGAAAATGATTTCTTAAATTTTTTTTTTTAAATTTTTCCCCCCCCAAAGATTTTGAGAGCAAGCATGAGAGAAGGGAGCCTGAGCAAGAGGAAGGGCAGAGGTAGAAGCAGGCTATTCACTGAGTAGGGAGCCCCATTTAAGGACCCTGAGATCATGACCTGAGCTGATGGCAGATGCCCAACCGACCAAGCCACCCAGGCACAAATTTTTGAGAGAGCAGGAGGGAGGGGCAAAGAAGGTTCTTTTCTGAGCAGGTAGCCCCATGTAGGGCCTGAATTAGGGCAGATCCTTAACTGACTGAGCCATCCAGACACCCCTAAGTTCCTTTTTAAGCTTAAAGCAGCTGGTAATCCTTAACCCATTCCAGCTGGCTCTCTGCCCCAGAATTTCTTTATAGTTTAGATAAAATCCATGTTGTTTAAATGAGAGTCCTTACAAATAAATACAAATTGGAATTTTGTAATTTAAAATTTTATTTTTAATTTTTAAATATTATTTATTTGACAGGGATACAGAGCACAAGTAGGCGGAGTGGCAGGGAGCCCGATGAGGGGCTTGATCCCAGGACCCTGAGATCATGACATGAGTTGAAGGCAGATGCTCAACCAACAGACCCACCCATTCACCCTTGTCATTAAGTTGTTAAACCTATCTCACGTGGTAGTCCATGGCACAGGGACTTAGTGGAATGGGGTACAGGGAGGTACACCACCAACAAGCCTGGTTATCTAGAAACAATTGTTTGACCTGAGTTCAAGTTCAGGAATTGAGGCCTAAACTATGCTACTTCATGTTTCACCCATTATAGGCTAGGATAATTGAAGAGGTGTTGGGAAGGAGAGCGCCGAATCCTAAACACTAGACCACCAGGGATAAGAGGTGTTGGTTGTAGAGCTTTACATCCCCTAAGAGGAAGGTTCTTAGAATGAGGTGGCAAATCTTCAGTTGAGGGTCCTTCGAAAAGTCCCTGTATTAAGGCGACTAAAAGCTTATAAAGAATCTCAGGCCTGAGGCACCTGGATGGCATCTGCCTTTGGCTCAGTTTATGATCTCAGGGTCCTGGGATCTAACCCTGCATTGGGCTCCCTGCTCAGGAGCAAGCTTCTCTACCTGGCACTCCTGCTTTGGGCTGTTTCTCTTTCTGTCAAATCTTAGGAAAAAAAAAAAATTGAGGTGAAGAAATGAGTAACTTAATTACAAAGCAGTTCAGAGAATGAGCAATTGAGTGTGTAGCTGCATTAAAGGGTTTGGAGGTAAAAATAGGATTCTACAACTGAATTGGAAGTGGTTCCAGTCACGATTTTTTACTTCCCTTAAGTCCTACTACCAAATAAAACAGGTGAGGGATAACTTGTTCGACATGAGTCCTTGCAGGATGCCAAGAAGTTGGGAGTATCAGCACTAGTGGCTGGCTCATGTGCTGTTAGGTTTGATGGGGATACAAAATTGACCAGACTTGGCAGCTCTGCTTGGACCTCAGTGGGCAATATATCTGTCCATCTGACCTTAAAGTGGCTCCCAGGAATGAGGTTGGGAGTAGAAGCTGCCTTCTTTGTAAGTAGTATGGAGTAGGTGAATGCCGATTATTTGGAGAGCGCTAGGAACCAAAGTTTCAAAGGAGATGGCCTTTCAGAGTGCCGGAAGCTTCAGTGAAGACAGTTGAAGTGGTCAGGAAAGGGAAGTTTTGTCTTTGAGTACCACTCTGCCAACCATCGTGCAGGGCCTTTTTCTTACGTGATGTTTAACCACTTGAGAGGTGAATAAACACTGTTAGGGCAGAAAGAAGTTCCTCACACATTACTCATCTGACTAAACAAGTAGTGTATTCATAACCCATGCCGGGCCTTGTTTTCTGTTCCATTACTCTGCAGCTTTCTAAGCCCACTCGTAAGATAGCATTTCATTGTCATGAAGTGATTATCAGGATTTGGGGCCTCTTTATTTTTATAAAAATGT